GCTGCTGGGCAATGCGTGACTGACCCCGTGATACACTGTTGACTCAAACCAAACCACCATGTCGACCACACGGTCTGCCTCATCCGCCTCTGCCTCCACGACTGACCTGGAATCCGCCGACCTGCTTCCACACCCCGGCTCCTCTGGTGTGAGTTTCCATCCTTGGTGAAAAGCTTATTGTGGCCAACATGAAACGGGTGTTCTAGGTCACTTCAATTTCTATTTTCAAGAACGCAAGTGCACAAGAGCTCATCCACTCTGGGAATGCCGCGTATAAGGAGCTACTCCATTCAAACATACAGAGCCAGAAGGAGTACACAAACCTTGTTCGGGGTTATCTACGTGTGACGGAGTATTGCCAATACATTGTGGGGTTGTATGCAGATCTCAGGTGTGTCTCAAAGATTCGGACTCTCTATTGCAGCCATTGATTCTATCTGAAGGGCTTCGCTCCCGGATGACGCTGATGCCCCGCCGTGGCAGTTTGACCCTCAGCAACCTGCACTACGAGAGGCACATCTCGACCACTATCAACTCCTTCTTCGCATCTCGCCCGAACTCCAGTGGTCTGTATGAGGTCAGGGATGATCCAGGGATGATTATTGCAGCTAGGGAAACATGTGTGCTGCCTGGTGGGGCCGTTGTTTTTGTATTTCATGATGTTTGTTTGCTCTAGTCTAGACTCACTGTGCCGTCAAGCCGATTTGGCTCAATTTGTTTATCAAATCAATGGGGCTCTTATTGGCTCTGATCAACTGGTCTCGTGCTCTTATAACCTTTTATAGACCCCATCAGAGATCACGAGTCTTATAATAGATCTCATTATTTCCGACAATATGTGTAGATTGCCCGATTCAAGGCCCATTGTCCGAGACGGGCCTTTGTAGTATACATATACCCATGGGTGACCGTGTTGGGGGCATACCCATGGGTTGTTGTTGGTGGCACACACACCCTTCTCCAACCCGCCTCCCAGCCTAACCCGCCTCACGCGCCCAACGCGCCTTTCCCGGCCATCCCGCCCGTGCGCCTCTCCCGCCTCCCGCCTTCCGACCATGGATCTTGTGGGCCCCTATCTGTCCAAGCATTCTGTGGGCCCCTATTCCCTCTACCTCTGCCTAGCGTAACAGGGAGTTGACATTGACCCAAATATTAGCACGACGCTCTAACCAACTGAGCTAGACGGCCGTGGTGGCGGTTCAATTGGCGGGCTGAAGGCAAAGGGGCCTCCCTTGAAGATAATCCCTTTGTGCATTCCCTGATCATGGCTGTTGCTTGATGTTGCCTGCACGAGGCATAGGAGGTTGGTCAAAAATGAGAGGTTACAATGAAAGAAAAGGAGTAGCGGCAAAAGAACGACGCAAGCAGGACTGGAACCTGCGCTCGGAAACCGAAACAGATGTAGTACCAGAGTGAATTGCTCCAAAATCATGTTACTCGTTCTATTGAGCGACCGGCGATATATCTTCGACCACCAATCCGGCTCCAAAGGTGTCATGTACCCGGGTATCTTGACTCTTGCCCTCCCACAATTGAAATTTTTTCCGGTGGAGATTGATTCCGAACAGCATCCGCTGATGAAATATCAGGTGTATTCACAGCCTGGTTAGGTCATGAGTCGTGACGCTCGCCGAAACGACAAGGTGATCGGGTCTCATTGTTCCTTGCCTGTATGTCCATCTCTGGGAATATTTTTCAAGGTCTCAAGATTCCTCTCCAAATCAGTCCCCACTGAGGCACGACAGTTTTAGTACCGCTAGGCGTCGTCGGCACTGCGGTTCCGCGGAGATTCGATGCTCATTTTTTTGGAGGTGCTTTCCCACGAGCGTTGCACGAGGCCAATCAACAGTTGACGCCACTTCCCAGCATCTTCTTCGATTGCATCGCCATGGGAGCACCTCTTTGTACATATATAAGGAGCCGCTCACGCTCGTCGATCTCCAAAAACCCGATGGCCCAGGACCCGGTCGGCTTGCCAACAAGCTCAAAGAGGTTGTGGCTTACGGCGGCGGTGGGACATTCAATGCTTAACCTGACGGGCTTTACTAATGCTGAGACCTCCGACAGGCAGAAATCTTCACATATGGTACGAGGTTCTATTCTAACTTGCTGTCGTCTGTTTCATTCCTTCTTCTTCAGGCGTTTATGCCGTCTTGTTCATATTTTACATGAAGATCCTGCGCAAGTCGGGAGGATTCCGAAATCATCGTTTCCTCCACTGTGCGACAATCGGTCTCTTTCTTCTCTCCACCGTACATCTGGCTCTCCTGCTTCCCATCACCGTCTTGGAAACTAAGATTGGCAATGGGTGGCCGTTCACAATGATCCTATCCAGCTTTTCCGAGTCCGAAGATCCATTCATCCGTGGCATCCCTCCCCAAGAGCCATGGGTCAGAGCAGCATTCGGCATCTATGTCACTAGCAAGTATGTTTATGGCTTTTCATGAAATTCTTTTGGCAATTAACGGACTCATTCCAGTGTTATCGCAGACAGTGTCTTCGTGGGCATTTCAAACAGGCCACAAGTAGATCCTGACAAATTATTTTCAGGTGTTCAGGTGTTACGCCATTTGGGGCTTTCACCTCATAATTGTCGCCTTTCCGATACTCTGTACATTGGGTGTTGCAGGTGTGTAAATTTCCAATCTGGACGACTCTGGGGCTCTCTGACTTTTTTCTCCGAGTTTTGGGTTATTGGCAGGTCATTCAGCCTGACAAGATTATAGCCATAGCTCATACGGTTGGCCCCATCTCAAGCGCCTTTCCCTTTTTGCCTTGATTGACTTGAGCTTCACCTTCTGGAACAGGGTACTAATATAATCAATCCTTCGCATGAGGGCCCCGTTATGCTAGATGTTATAATTACTTTTGGCACCATGCCCATTCTGATATCCTTGGGGACAACTATCATACTCGTGGTTCTGAGTGGTGAGTGTTCAGAGCTTCTTCAATGTTCACAATTGACCTTTTTTCCCAGCGGGCCGCATCTGGTGGCTAGGCTGCAGGGCACACAAAATCCTTGGATTCAAAACGGGACGGTATTACACTGTCTGCGCCATGATGTAGAAGTCTCCTTCTCACTGTCAAAACCTTGATTCATTCTTGGCTGGTCCAGATTGGAGTCTGGTGCTCTATATGTTGTTGGCGCAATCCTTCTGGCCATCCTATCGATTGTGTATGCCAACGATGATCTGGTCAGGTGCGCACCGATAACCCCCCAATTGGCTGTAAGTAACGACCAGAACCTCCCAGTCACAGTACTTCAACTGACTGTGCTTTCAGGGCATCGCGCCGACTATCATTGCCGTCCGCGTTGGACTAAAGAAGAGTGTTGAAAGCGTCGATAGCTTCGCAATGGCAATGCAGCCTTCGGGACTACACCTGTCTTCCATCAATATCAACGTCAGCACCACCGCCGGTCCAATCAAACCCCCAGCGGTAGTATATCTTCGCCCAGAAAGCATGACTGAGGTTCAGAAGTTCGAGACGGTGTAATCTACCGCCATCGACGATTTAATGACCTTCAATGTCAACCCTGTATTATATTGGTTCTATGTATTTATTCAGACCTGCTTTTCTGCGGTTCCAGTAAGTACTAAACTGGCAATGAAATTCGCATTGTAAACCGATGTAAGAATCTCAAGCTTGAATAGTTTATTTGACATGTGTGCATCAAGTGGAACCTCGGGTTCAATATCTACAGCCAGATAGCCGGTCAGCGTATTCAACGACGCAGCTCAGAGTGTGTTGGACTCGGATTTCCTGGGTGTCTGTCTCCTCCGGATAGAGCTCAATTCGGACAGTCCAGATAGCCCGAGGCAATCCTATGGAATTCATCCATTACTTGTCGTGAATTATACATCATTTAGACCCATGTCCATCATAAATAAAGCAAGGCCTAGGCACCATGCCTCCACGGCCCATCAGCGCGGGTCGGGAACGCCTGCATCCCAAGTGCACCAGGAATTCCCCTGGACAAAGCCGGATCCGACTGGGCGTATGGGTACGGCGCGGGTCTAGGCGTGCCTGGCGGTGCTCCGTACGCGTAATCCTGCCTACGACCTCCGGGGGCGGGCGGGGGAGGTGGCGATTGAGCAGTGAGCAGCGCCACCGGTTGGGGATCAGGTACGACGTTGATTCCGTGAGGCGTCCTCGAGCTCCTGTCGCGCGAATTGCATCCCCCATGGCCAGGACTTGCTGGGGAATTAGGAGGCACAACGTTGAGGAATTGAGCTTGCTCAGGGACGATGATGCAGTCCGGATGCGCGTGGAAATTGGTGCTCAGTGTGTCTGGGAATGGGATGGAGGGAGACAATTCGGCAGATGGGATGCGGTCTTTCATCCATGCAGGGGTAGAAGTCCGGCTGGGAGTTGCAGGAGAGGTGGGTGTGCGACGCTCGACCGGCGAGCGGGGACTGGATGGGCTGCGATGAGAGCTCATGATTCTGGAGTGGATTTGACTGGAGGAAGACTGGCTTTGCGGGGAGGACTTTATACGCACAAGACAATTGCAGTTGAAACAATTAGGAGATTGACAACTTGTTGACAACCAAGTGCTTCCGCGGAAACAATTGCAGATGACAATAGAATGTGTCAGCATCTAAGCCCAGATAGATGAAAGACAAAAGCCGCGTCGAGTTTCGATGTGTGGTGACTCGTGAAAACGGCGTGAGAGAGCAAGCCGAATGCTGCCAAAGTCCCAACTGAGTGTCACATGCTATACTTCGAGTTTCGGCGTATTAGAGATTCATCGCGGACAATCCAAGGCGTGCACGATGGTCAAACGATGGTGGTGGTGGGTGGTCAAGAGCTTCTGCACCGCCACCTGCAGCCAGCGGCCATCACTGATATCTTCCAACTTTCGCAGGAACACATCAGTGAGAAGGTTGAAGTTCCAAGTCTTTGCTTGACTAAATACGCAGTGTGGGAAGAGAGGAGAAGATCTAGGTTGAGTCCCGGGAGATTTCGCGAGGCAAAAGGAAGACGATGCAGCAAAAGAACGACGCGAGCAGGACTTGAACCTGCGCTCGGAAACCGAAACAGATAAGATATATCATGTACTCCAACATTCTAATCTGTCGCCTTAACCACTCGGCCATCGCGCCTTATAACCAATGCACACTACGGACGTTGATATTTCCCAGCTGCATTTCAGCTCGCCAAGCGATGTTAGCTAACTGGTGCGAGGAACGAGTGCCGGTTAGCGAGAGATAAGCTAACGAGGGAGAGCGCGGGAGCCGGATCACTCGCTGACATCATCAAGACGCGCGTCGCTCGCTTTAGCTCTCGACCACCATCCTCTCGTCGCCGCCGGCCCCATTTTCGCGCCTTGGGTCATCATCGTCGGCGGCGACGTCCTCTTAGACCTTGTTCCTTCATCCCTCGCATCTCGTAGCGCCCCGATCGTGTCCCATTACGCTCCACTTTAGTCCACCTCTTTCCGCTTCTTTCTTTGGCTATGACACGCGTCAAATACGCCCTTTACGCGCTTCACGGATCGTCGTTACCTCCCCTCTTCCCTTCCTCGCATCCTTGTCGTTCTGGCGTGCTACATCGAGCCCTTTTCCCGATACCGCCTTTTTCTCATTGGGACGCAATCCGTATACGTTTCTGCACGCAATCGGTGCTCTATCGACGCCACGACGACCTCGTTTGATGTTCACCTTCCTCCTACCCGCTCTCCCTCGTTCGCAGCGCTCCTTTTGGGGGGCCCGCCGCCGCCATCGCGTTTGCCGGCCGCGCTTCGCTTTGTCGCACTGCTCCGTTTGGGGGGTCCGTCTGCTCGCTTTGGCGTCGGTTTCCCCCAGTTTCGCGTCGCGCTGGTCGCGGGCCGCCTGCTCGAGTTACGTCTCCCACTTCCCGGTGGTCGTGCCTGTGTTGCCCTGCCGGGTCCGGGAGCGTCTCATTGCGGCCTGCGGCCACGCACGGCACACTAACCTCTCTTGCTCTGTCTCTAGGTCTTCGATTTTCTGTCTTTCTGCGTCCTCATACGGATTGCGTTGTCTTTCCCGCGTCCTTATACGGACTGCGTTGTCTTCCCGCGTCCTTATACGGATTGCGTTGTCTTTGCTGCGCCCTTTTACGGGTTGCTTCCCTACATCTATATATCTCCATCCTTATACGGATTGGAATTATATGAATTTTTGCCTCCCCGGTGCTCTTCGGACACCTTTCTCATCCCTCTGATTCTACAGATACGACGACCACACCGACCAGCGCGCGACGAGTTAGCTTATTCATGCGATTGCATATTCCATCAGATCTCTCTCTTCCTTCTCCATGTCGCATCGTGCTCTCTGCATCCCTGAAATCGTGGCGATGATATGCGAAGCCGGGGTGTATTTGGAAGATTACGAGTTCAACTGGAACACTCTTACCTCCCTTGCAAGAACCTGTAAAGCGTTCCAAGACCCTGCGCTTGACGTTCTTTGGAGCTCCCAATCGACGATGATGAACGTCCTCAAATGTATGCCTGGAGACATATGGGAGTGGCCAGATGAGAATGAAGTCGCGGTGGTGCGTACCTGGGCCCTGTGCTTGAGATTTGGAGCACTAATGACGAGTGGCAGGAACTGCAGAGACCTATCATACCGACAGACTGGGAGCGTCCGTTTTTCTATGCGCACCGTGTCAAACGTTTCGACAACTCCCTCGATGTACAATATGGGCGTCTCTTCTACGAGACGTTACAAATGTGTCTGCCAGGCGAACCATTATTTCCCAATCTTCAATCGATGAACTGGACTTCCGAGAACGATGGGGTCCTCTTTCCATACTTGCGGTCCTTCTTGGGTCCGCGATTGCGCACCCTGACTCTCGATGTCGACTAATCGACTGCCCACCTGTCATCGTTGCCGGGTCTCGCTGCACAGTCACCGCAGCTCGAAACCCTGTGCATTTATTGTTATGCAGATCTGAATGGGCGATGCCACAGCCTATCATTTCTCGTACGACAACTCAATCATCTTCATGATCTCACCGTTCCTTGCCTCGATGGCCCTGCGTTGAATCATCTCTCGCAGCAGTCGAACCTCCAATGCTTGACGCTTCTGGCCCAATCGGGACTTGGTATCTCGGACCTCCCTCCCGAGGAGCCATGCGAGCACAGGTCCCCTATGAAGAGATTCACCGTATTCCTCATCGACTCTCATGCCGTGTCCGGGGTTCGCTTACGGTTTCGAAACCGTCTCCTCCGCGACGTGACCATCAGACTTCCCGCGACAACACCCGCAAGAGACGTGCGTGTCACAGTGCTACAACGCTCGATGTTGCCGCCACTCCAGCGCAAATCACTCTTCACGCCATTTCGGTGACCTCTCTCTCCCCACTTTTCGCCTTCGGCGATCTCACCAACGTCTGGGCCCGTCGGCCTCGATCTTGACGACGCTTCGATGGCCAGTATCGCCTCGGTATGGCCACGCTTGCGCTGCCTCTTCATTGAGTCCACCTCGTTTAAAAGTGTACCTCCACGCGCGACACTTTCCTCCCTCCTCTCGTTGGCCCAGTTCTGCCCTTACCTTCACACGCTGACGATGTCAGTCGACGCGACCTTCATACCCCAATCGCAGGATCAGAGAGCGGAACGGACTCGTCCGCAACAAACTTCCCTCACATTGTTGAACTTTTGGGACTCCCCGGTGGGTCCCCCGCTTGTCGTTGCCGGCTCTTGTTCCCGAAGCTGGAATCCGTGTCGTATCGACGGGCCAGAGATCCCGAGGCTGCGTCATTGCAAGAGCAGTGGAGGCAGGCTTTTTATGACGCGTTGCCTGTACTGCACGATATACGCGCTGAGGAGCGGTATTGGACGCAGAGGGACGATCGGGAGGGATAATATTTTGTTAAAATGTGAGCTCGTGCCAATCCCTGATGATACGGGACAGATTTCATTTATATCTCTCTGCTCCAGTTGCCCGTATGCATCGTATATCTAATATTCTGCTTGCTCATCATGGGAACTCACACACCGGTGCCTCAGTTTTGAACTATCGGTTCCTGTTGGCGACACGATTCCAGTCTCAATCTGCGCTTGTCGATCTTGTCCACAGCTTCAATTATCAGGAGACCTTCATGCAGTACTTTACTTCAACACTCTGCGCGTGTCGATCGATCCCATATGCACATATTACGGCCCACGCGAAATTCATAGTTCCCCTCTACTCCATCCAGCCGACCGATCTCGGAACCTCGTCTCCAACCAGGCTGAGGCTCACAGGCTTGCAATTTTACCCATACACTCCTTCTCTTCCTCCTCGTGTCGTCGCTCCTCAACCCCCGACACCCTTGGAGTTATGTTTTACGCACGCGCATTTGCTGCTTGGTTCAGACAAAGAAGAAAGGAGGTTCGTTGAGGGTAGGGTGTGCGCCGGCCTTTGTCCCCCGGTGTATTCATCCTGTGATTAACCTGGACGAGTCACGACAACTTCGCCCAAGGTACCGGTTTTCAGTATGCAAATACTCAGCTGGCATCACAACTGACCTCAGACGGAATTCTTCGGACTCGGATGGGATCTCGTGGCACCTGGCGCTGGAGTTGTTCACTCAAACGGGAAGTTGTTCTAATTCGACGTTCCTTCGGTGAGGGAGGGCGGCTGAAATGATGGCATCAAAGTATCAGGCGGTTGCATGCCCAAGAGGGTTTGGCTGAGGAAGGATATCAGACTGTTGGGACAACTGAAAACCGTCGAGTTCGGAGTTGTTGATTCCCGTGACACGCTATAGGACAAGTAGTAATTTGCTCCGTGGGGTTATTGATTTTCGAGGTAGGAAACCGTGCATCTCCCGCTGGGCGCCAAAATTCTGACTGTTCGGGAGTGCTGCGATACGCGATTATGTTCTATGGCGGGAGTTCACGAGGCACGGATCCTGGAATAGACCCAAGTTTCGTGTAGGCTGTGCGGATCAGCCCGCAGTCACGGGTACGGGTCCGGGGTTGGCCTCGCTACATTGGTTCGTCGGCCCATTAGGCTGACTATGAGAGGTTGGGTCAAAGTGAGGGCGGTACACGGTCGCTTGAACCTTTCCGGATGCTTGAATACTCTTGCATCTGGAACTGAGCTCGAGAGAGGAAGCCAGACTGCGCGCAGGGATTCATGGTTATAGGGAACAGGAATTCCAGGATGAATACAGCCGTTTTCAAAACAGTATACGGGTTTGGAGCCTTGCTCCACGTACATTTTTGCTGCCCTTTGACGGAGTGTCGAGCTTCCACTCCACTCAACTCCACAAGTCAATTCAAGAGCTGTGCGATGGCTAGACAGCATTTCCCTTTCCGGGCAGGCGAGTGGAGTCGAAGCAGACTCACCAGCACACAGAGGTCAACACAAACGAAGGTGGAGCACTGCATCAAAACCCGTATACTGTTTTGAAAACGGCTGTATCTGTTCTTCCTTGGAAATCAAACAACTGGTGTTCCTAATATGGTAATTGACGGAACTCGATTTTTTAGTGAGGATGCCTTATATAAAACTGGTCACTGAGGGAATTGGTGGATGAACTTGGATAGATCCCGCTGGCCTGATTTGTGGTCAAGTTGCAACACTGCTTCAGCGGCCTGACGCCTTTGGTCGCAGAAGACCCCCGTTCAAGTCGGGAACGGGCATCCAAGGTGTTTAAAGTAGAACTTTTTGAATGCACAAATCAGTTTACCTCGCTTGGCTCGCTGCCAGGCTGGTCTGTTTTTTTGGTCAAGTTGATATACACTATGTTAGTGAATGCGGGCGCCTCAAGAGTCGGAAATTCAGCAAGCGATGCTTCAAACCGCATTCGTCGTGGCCATGACATTTCGAAAGAGCCCAGCGAACAATCGTTCTAGTCCTTGAGTGAGGGTGAGCGGGTTTAATCATGAGTATAGGAACATATAGGTAAGTAGTTGCACGCTGAGTGCTGTGAGTGCTCGGACGTTGCTGCTGCGACTCATCTAGTGGGCTGAGGCCACACGCCTTGGGTTCGATTCCTGGTGTGCCTAGTAACTGGACCTTTGTGGATTCATCTTTTGTCACTCTCCATTTTGATTGTCTGCTCTGCTACGATGGATATTCCCCTTACATTACTGAAGGGAATTGGCGGACGAACTTGGATGGATCCCGCTGGCCTGATTTGTGGTCAA